CCCGGAGAAAACACAGCGCCCACCGGCTTTCAGGGTATTTTTTTTCCCTGTGCAAAAAGAACAGAGCATTTATTCCTGCGTGCCCTTAAATTTATATAAAAAAAAAAGATTTCAAGATACGTTTCCAGCAATCCAGACACCAAGCTGGCATTCCAAGCAACAGTATATTTTATATAACTGATTTTTTTTAGTTTTTACCACTTTATAAAGCCATACAATGAACTGCAAAGAATCCGACATCTGTACAATGGGAAGACAACAGCGGAGTCACATTCACACACGGACATGGTGTGACCGAAGTCATCCTTACATGCGCAACAACACTACGGGCACAAAGATACAAAATATAACGTATTTTTTTTTCCATCTATATAAATACACAGAAATGGGCGAGTCTAAAAGTTCTAAACTGTTCATTAACACTGATTAGCAAATAAATCTGTAACGTTCCCAAAGTAACAAAGACAACAACAACAAAATCCACACATAATACGGCAGCACAGGATCCGCCACAGAAACGTTGGGTTGCTTCCTTTTTTTCTTTTTTTCTTTCTTTTCCTTTTTAAGGAAAAGAAAGGAAAAAAAAAAAAATAGTAACCCCAAACCAACCTCTCAATTTGCAAAACAAACGAACGAAATGAAACAAGCCCCTGCGGGCTCCTTTGCTGTCTGATCCTCCTGCCTGCTCCAACGGGAAAGGTTGACTTCTGTTGACGCTGCTGTCTGGGGTTTTTGGGGCAACTGGTTTCTTCACCCGCCCAACCTGCTGGGTGGGGATTTACTTTGCACTTCAATTCAGGCAGTTGAACTCGCTGGAAAATCGATGCCCGGAGGCTGGGTTGGGTTTTTCTCCCTACCTGGTTTGTTTTCGGTGTGTGGTTTGACCAGGGGCAGCCAGCAAAGGCTACATCCAGAGCAACCCCAAACTTTGCTCAGTTTATCTGCTCAAACCCATGAGCATCCATCTCCACTGGCAACGAGGGGCTGGCAAAGACCATGAGATGGGTGAATCCCATCAGCAGATGATGACACAGATCATCCCCCAAAATAGCTCCCAGGGGGCCCAGAGCCGGAGACAGCCCCGTTGAATGGGAACCCCACATTTAGCACATAGCAGGCGCTACCGTTTGTGACAGGCAGCAAATGACCCCCCCGGGGAGCATTTCCCAACAGACAGCAACATCAACAGCAAAGGGAGGACGGGTGGGAAGGGGCTTCTCCAAAGAACAAACTGACACAGAAAGGGCACGTACAATAAATTTACACACACAAAAAAAAAAATATATATATATATGTGGGAAAAAGTGCGTTTTTAAAGATATCTTTGGCAAGAATATATGCAGTTCTTTGTGCAGGAAGGAGGGATGTGTTCGTGTGTGTGTCTGAGAGAGAGAGATACCATCCGGCTGCTGACAACGGCAGTGTGATTACAACGAAACATATGCTGGGCTTAACTCGTGCAAGCTCGAATCTCAAATACCATGACTGCATTTAAAAACCAAAGAAAAAAAATACAAAGAGTATTTTCTGTCCCTTTTGTAAAGAAAAAATATCAACACTAGGTCCCCGGCAGCCCTGGGACCTGGGCGATCCTCAATGCTGGCTGACGGTCTCGCCCGGGGACAGAAAGGGTAGATACACCTGAAAGTGTAACTTTAAAAATGAGCAATAGGTTAAAAAAAAGTGCCTTTAAAGGGAGCTGACAAACACCCGGCTACATCACTGGAAGGTGATTAGCTCTGTGTTAAAAAAATAATATAATCATTGGACGATTTTGTTAGTGTTCGAGATCTGGATACGGTCTAAACCTTCAGCTAGTGGGTTAGTGGGGAAGCCGTGAGCGGCTGAGGGCCCAAAACAGGCGTGCTGCTATCGGCAGGTATCTGCTGGGGTCGGCTTCTGTGCGACATCTCCGGGGTGCTTAGATCCGCTTCATTTGTACAGGGAGAAAAAGAGGAAGAGGAATTTCAAGCACCAGTTTCCGAGGCAGCAGATAAAAATAAAATTACATTATTATCATATCTTTTCTTAGCAGTGAGAAAACCAAGTCTGAAAAATAGAGGCTTTCAAAAATATATCTTTATATATCTATAAACACAGTGTTTTCTCTAATTGGTGAACGGCAGGGTGAGGAGATTACGGGTGAGATCATCTCTCATCTCACTTGAATTTCGCAGAAGGAGGGAATCGCTTTTTGGAAACATCAGAAATGAAAAGGTCTCCGCATCCACGCGGCCAGGGAGGTGGGGAGGGGGAAAGACCCCTCGCCGGAGCCCCCCATTCTGCCGCCATCTCGCAACCAACTCCTCGCTACACATCCTTTCCCGCTCTCGCTTCAGCACATCAGAACAGCCTCCGGCCGTGCCAGCCCCTCCGGACACCCACGCCGCCGCTCCCCCACGCACACGCATGCACACACATGCACACCGGTCAC